CAGCCTTGCTCATCGCAACATCCACATACCCAATATTAGCTATATTCTGTGTGGGTGTAAATGGTGCATGGAGTCAATGTTACAATCTATTTCCAAAAGTGGAAAACTCTTGTGGTTTAGTGAGATCTTTGGAGTAGCTTCTCATGGTACCTCAATGGAATTTAGCATTGGAGTGTAACTAGCCATGGGAAGATCACCCAATGTAGGAGATCCTGTGGTGCAAAAGAGGTAGCATAGTGTCTCCTGTGCAATCATCTTTCCCTTCTGCTAGTACAACTATCAAGGTCAGCACTTCTCTGTATTCCAGTGATTCTCAGCTGCTATTTTGGCGATTGGGGCTGCTGGCAGTTAGCATAACTTACCCAGGCTGTGCTAATTTATACTAGGGGACCCAGACCTACACATAGTCATCCAAGGATTGGGGAAGTGCAGATAAGATGTGTGCCAAAACACTGTAGAAAAGACCTAATGTGGTCAGAATTTTTTTGTTTTGTTTGTTTTAAATAAAGCTCAGAATTGTGATTTCCAAGTCCCATGGAAGACTGAGAGTCTTAAATTTGAAAGCAATTTAAGAGATATCCAATACTGTGACTGGGCATGCAAATGTAGTTGGGCATTACCACAGCGTGACAATAAAATCAAAGGTGGAGCTTCCGTTGATTGGGGCTGATATGCAGCATGGGTCATAAATGTGTATTGAATTGCCTTCTTCCACCAAGAGCCAGAGTAATTCTACTCACAAAAAGCTTGAATCAGGTCTGAAAGCTTGGAATTCACTTTGACTCAGAAAGTGTAACCATGCCCACTTTGCTACTGAGGTTACACTGTATTGTTTCCAACCTTTCATAATTTTTAAGCTACTATAATAAAATGGTCATCTTGGGGTTAACTGGGATACCCAGAGAGTATTGGGGTATAAAACCTTGCTCACCCTTTTCTATCTCCTGTTTGTCAGTGGGAGTTTCTTCCCCACTCAGTTTATGTTGCTGTTGAATGAATCAGGAAGTTCCTTAACCTGCTGTCCTGTGAATAAAGTGTTATTTTTGTTTCACTGAGCAGTCTCTTGTAAAAACTATGAAGGACGTACACAGGTGCCGCTAACAAGCTCCATCTGGGAATAGAATGACATTGGAGCCAGGTCTGAACCAACAGGGATATGGGCAGTATGAAATGTTCAATGTGTTCTTCCAGAATGGGCCAAGCATTTAACTGACCTGCAGTATTCTGGAAATTGAAATAGATTAAAACTATGAAAAAAGCCCTGCATGAATGGCCAGTGCTATAAACTGCTGATAGTTCTACCGTCCCTAAACCTGTCATGTGCCAGATCACTTATGGCATATTCGTAGGTTCTTTAGCAGTCTCTGTTACTAATTATCTGAAATTGTGAGTCTGCCAATGAAGTAGAAAATTCACAATACAATTATCCACCTCTCAAACCTGGCTTTCCCAGTACTATAAGTTATAGTAATGTTAGTGCAAAGCAAGCTACAAAACTACCCACATGATGCTTGAGAAGAAAAATGTCTTATCACTAATAGCATGTGTGTGGCTCATTGGGGTATATAGTAGTAACTACAGAAGAGACAACAGCAAGGAGCAAAGTGGGCAGCCCATCCAAGGTCTCCCACTTTATCTATTGTAGGTATTTATATGGTCTGCATGCCATAATATCTCAGTGTCTCAGAATCTTTTTAACATATTTATTCTCACAGCACCCATGTGAGGTAGGAAGTCCCGTCATCATCCCCAATTTCAATGAGGAACTGAGGCACAGAGACAGAGTAAAAGCTAAATGCACAAAGGGACTTAGGCTTTGTGACACTCAGCATCATGATGCCTAAATGTTATGTGCCTAGAAAATGAGTGGGATTCACAAAGCCTGGCTGGGTTCAGCATTTAATCTCTCCATATAGTGAATGGGGAGAGATAGGTGCTTCAGAATGATTTCCACAAAAGTCAGTATGGTGAGCGGGGAGCGGCCTACGCTAACCAATGAGAGATGCTGAGGAGAGGGGTGTGTGCTAAACTCTGCCCCTATCAGAGAATTAGGTGCTACTGTCTGCTTGGGATTCACAGGTGTGCAAAGGCTTTTTCATAACTTTTATCTCAGAGATTAGGGTACTTGTTAGGGGGCTTATTCCTTCACCCACTTACTTCCCTGGTCCTTCTCGCATGAACAGAGAGCAACAATACCCGAAGTCCAAAGGTGCAAACAATTCGATGTTTATTGGGGTGAACTGCCAGCAAGCATGATTCCAGTTTCCTTCCTTAGTATCCTCCTTCCCAGCTCTGACACCACAGAGCCTTACACCTGTGTCCCTGTTCCCATTCCTACCCTTAGCCAAACATGATTCCAACTTCCTTACTCCCATTCCCTGTTCCCATCTCACACACCCACATGCCCACCCCCACCCACACCCAGTCACTTCCTCATTGACTACAGATTATATAGTAAAACTTGAGTTCTGCTTAGCTATACCTTAACCAATCATTTTCCTGAAATTTAACTAACCAATCCTAACATATTGTAACATGATTATGTAACCAATTATATCCCACCACCTCAATTAGTTTACACCCAGCAAAATTAATTATACAGCAGACAGGAACAATCACAGAACCAGACAGAGATTATACAGACAAACAACAGCAAAGTGGGAACTATAATGACAAAACAATACAGAAGTGAGGATTTCACATCCCAGCTATTGATAAGTGAGTTCTTGCCAGACAGGATGCGATCAAACTAAGTTTCCTTTTACGTTTTCTAGGCACTTCCCTTTCTCTGGAGGTGATAGGAATACAATCCTGTCCTTATAGTGCCTAACAGCCCAATAGCACCTTATTTCAATGTGACTAGTTTGGAATGTGAGGATGTGACCGTTCGCTTCCCAGCTTATGGCTGCCTCTGCTGCTTAGCCAAAGGCCTGAGCCTAAGCACAGGGCCACAAACTGTCACAGTAAGAGAAGGCCCTTACACTGGCAGACAGTGGTTTTGATTCTTTCTTTTATACCTCTATCACTAGCCAAGTGATAAGAATACACCTAAATTCTTAGAGTATAGGCCTTTACAGACAGGCCTGAATATCTATATCCTAACAGTACTCACCCAGGATGAGGAAGGTGCTGGTTCAAGTCCCTCATCTGCTTGATGAGGGAGAAGATTTGAACAGTGATCTGCCCTATCTCAGGTGAGTTCCCTAACCACTGGGCTATGGGATATTCTGATGTGGGTCTTCCTCAATCTTTCCTGTTCATGCTGTTCCAATCTGGCTGCTTAAATAAATAGTTTTGGGGCTAGAGAAAGAGTGAGAATGACTTTAAAGCCTTGTGAGTAGTACACAGATGTGGGAGATCTAGGTTCCACTTCATCTGCTTCATATAGAGTTAGGTGGCCTCTGATTGTGCCTACCCCATTAGGCCTTGTAGGTACGTTAGGTAGAAGAATGCATGTCTTCCCCCAATTTGTGAATTGCACTTGGTCTTAAGCATCTGGATGCCTGGAGTGAGGCAGCAGTGTGCATACTGTGTGGTAGAAACATAAACACTAGGCAAAGGAAAAAGCTTAGGTAGCAAGTGAGTTTAGGCACCTATAGCATAAGATAGCAGTTGCTCAGGAGTGTTGTGGCCATCAGAGGCTCCTAATCTGAAATTTAGGCACTTAATTGAGGGCATATTTAGGGTTGGGAAGGAAGTTTCCCTCCAGGTCAGGTTGGCATTGATTTTCACCTGCCTATGCGTCATGGGGCAAGGGTCACTTGCAAGTTTAAACTAGCATAAATGGTGGATTTTCTGTAATGCCAAGTCTTTAAATCATTATTTGAGGACTGGAGTAACTCAGCCAGAAATTAGGGGTCTGTTACAGGGGTGGGTGAGGTTCTGTGGCCTACAATGTGCAGGAGGTCACTCTAGATGATTATGATGGTCCCTTCTGACCTTAAAATCTAAGAGTCTAAAGTCATATTTAGGAGCCAAAGTTCCTCTGTGAACCTAGCCTTAAGTGAGTTGCTAGAGGTCATGCAAGAAGTAAGGGAAAGAGGTTCAGAGCAGGGAATTCAACACAGTCTTCTGAATTCCAGGCTAGTGCCCTAACCATTGCGCCATTCTACCTCTCTGGCTGATTCCTCCATTATTCTTTATGGATTTTCCCATATTGCCAGCTAGCCAGTTCAGGAAACCCTTGCAGGTCCTGTGTAAAACCAATTAAGTGAGAAGCAGCTGAAAAATGAGCTGCAATTGACCAACTGTAATATTCATTTAGAGACTACATTCATCACAAAAGGAAAAGAGTATGCAAAATGGATTCACATACACAAAAAATAGTCTGAACTTTTTAGATTTAGAAAGTATATATCTGATTCAGCTACTTCCGTATTAACTTTTCTCCCTATTGTCAACATTAATTCTCAATAAAGCCATGATCTTTAAACCACTGAAGCTAATTATGAAAATATTTAATTTCAGAAATAGGTATTTTGTGTATCATAATTAAAATGTGCCATTTATTCCAAATTAAAAACAAAACAATTATTTGCATTTCTTTCATGCTGAAGATTTGGAATGAATCCACAAAAAATCATCGGGTGATTGTGACAACAAAATAGCGGGAATAAAGGCAGGGAAGCATCAAATGCATTTATAAAATATCTATTAAACCAGTACATTTTATGAAATGCATTTTAGGGGACACTGGTAAAGACAAAAGAATCATAAAATATATTCCAAAAAGTCTTAGACTTTAAAATGTTATAGTCAATGTATAGATAAAATACACATCGAAAATGAGATCTATTTTTCTGTTGTAAAACTGTAAAGCAAAGAAATGTATTATGTATTATTTAAAAGAAAAAAAATAGAAAGTATAGTTAAGAGTCTCCAAGTGAAGGAGATTAACCAGGGATCTAAAGAAAATATAGCACACAATAGGCAGCAGCTGCTAGAATTGGTTCATTAGTTAAACACTGACAGCTTTGCCTCTTTCCTTTCACAGGTTCTAACTGTGAGTTTAGGCCTTGTGAGGTTAGCAATCCCTGTGAGAATGGAGCTGTGTGCATACAAGAGATGGATTTGGACATTTTTCCCCTTGGATTCCAGTGTCAGTGTATGAAGGGCTTTGCAGGTCCACGCTGTGAGATCAATGTCAATGAGTGCAGCTCCAGCCCTTGCCTCCACGGATATTGCTATGACAGTAAGTTCACCCTGGTTACACACTTTAATGTGGAGTACTCCTACTGTTGAATCTGATGCAGCAACTGAGTGGCTCTGGAGAGAAGAGCAGATAATTTATTGAAATTTAGCCTGTCTGGAGCTCCAGAGCGTGTGCCAGGAGGATTATTTTTGCCAAAATACCTCAACTCCTGGCACAGACGTTTATGTTTCCATGCATCACAATTGCAGCTAATGAGAAATTTTAATGAGATTTGAGTTGTCTTTTCTAATGTTTAAATTAGCCAAATGGATCTTGTGTAGTGCATTTGACAGTGATAATTTTCAAATTTCTGAAAAGAACACAAAGCAATGAGACTTCATGTGTAATAATTTTAACAAATCTGTGAATACTTCATTTTAATATGATCACACTGATATAAAATGTAGTGTCTCTTCACCAATAACAGCCTTCTAGAATCTCTCTCTCTCGCTCTTCTGGATAGCTATATTTTATACTTCTTCATTAGTCATTGGAGGCAAGCTGATGAATTACTGTCCTGTTTTGTGCTCTGTCTACATTGTCAGATTAAGTGCACTAGCATCTGATGCTTCTGCCTTACTTGTTATAAGGTTCTAGGTGAGCATTACTGCACTTTTGCCTTCAGGACTGACAGGCAAGAAAAAGAAGGGACTTTGCCTTGTACATTTCTGAACTATGCTAAGGTTGAAATTTTTGAATCTACCTTAGAGATTTATAGGTACAGATACTATCAATTTCAGTGTAAACTCTTCATCTGAATCCTCGAGGCAGCTTTGCAATTTTTAGCCTACACGTATAATAATGTTAGGTCTATTCTGAATTACAAAAACTGCCTCCTTCAGGTTTCAATAAACCACATATTGTCATGAAATCACCAGATGCAGATTCAAATTCCCTTTTTTTATATATACTTTAGCTTATTACCCATAACTTGAATTTACTATAGCTCTCTCTGCAATGCCTGTGGAAATTAAAATCAACCCCCTGCCCTCAGTGGGTTAGCAGCTGCTACGTTCCAGCAATGAATGTAACTGATTTAATCCAGAAGCTTCTTCCACAACTCTCTGTTCTGTAGCATTAACACACTATCGTCCATGTTGCCTCATCAAGACATGTTCTAAGATTATGTAATCCTCTGGACAAATAAATACAAACTACTAAAAGTGTTTTTAATGTTTCATTAATTGCTGTAAGAATAAGCAGGCTAAGCCTTGGCTCTGGGGAAGTTACTATCTCTTTTAATGGCACACAGTCTGGAAACTGCTTAGAGACAGAAAGGGAAAATGTAAAGCACAGGAAATGCAAGCAGTAGAATCATAGAAGATTAGGGTTGGAAGAGAACTCAGGAGGCCATCTAGTCCAACCCCCTGCTCAAAGCAGGACCAACAGCAATTAAATCATCCCAGCCAGGGCTTTGTCAAGCTGGGCCTTAAAAACCTATAAGGATGGAGATTCCACCACCTCCCTAGGTAACCCATTCCAGTGCTTCACCACCCTCCTAGTGAAATAATGTTTCCTAATGTAAGCAGTGTCAGGATGAGCTCCACCCTGACATCTGGTGGTGAGGTGTGACAAGTTGTGGAAAAGAACTTCAGGGGCCGATCTCATTTGCATAGGCACACCCACCACGCCTAGAATGAGACCATAGCTGTCCAAATGGTCACTTTGGCTGCTGTGGGATCCCCAGTGTCTCTGTTATTGGGGCAGGAAGAATAAATTGTTATTACCCTGATTATGGGAACTGTGCTTGGAACTGTACGTGGCCTTTTGTTATGATGGAGGGATTCACCATCAACTAAGTAGCACTCGCTAGGCAAGGGTCATGGGTTCCAAAACTGTGTGAATGGAGAGAGGCTGGGGACAAGTATTAATACTTGGTGGCATGGGCCCCTTGGTGAGGGCCTTACATGCTAATTGCACTTCCTCCTCTCTCCACTGTGGAATATCAGAGCTAATTTTGATTTCATTAGAAGTCTAGTTATAGGCTGCTGAGCTCACTTTGGGCTGACAGTGCACCAGCACTGGGGCTCCCCTACTACAAGCTGAATTCACCTAAGAGCTGAAATCACTGAGTGTTGTGTTAAGTAGGGGGGGGAGCCTGAAGATATATTGTGGAGCAGTTTGCGGGACGGCTGGTGAAGCAGTTTGACGCGGAGCAGTGTGTGGATGGCAGGAGCTGCTTGTGGGCTGTGGAGCTGAGCGAAGGAGTTCGTGGGGCGGCTGGCAGAGCGGAGCGCAGCTGAGCGAAGGAGTTTGTGGGGCGGCTGGCGGAGCGGAGCGCCGCTATGGAGCGGTCAGCTTCAGATCATGTAAGGTGCCTCTTACCCCCGTCCCATTTCCACCCAGGTTGGGAGGTAAAGCTCTGCAGATAAACTTTCGAACTCTGGGGCTGCCCTGACCAGGGACAGAGACTTTTGGGGCATTGGACTTTTGGGACTTTGGGTGATTTGGGGTTGCTGGACTCAAGAACCCAAAGGGAAAAGGGCATGCCCCAATTTGCCTGGGGTGGGTTTTTTTTGCTCATGGGTTGTGTTATGAATCCTGTTGGTGGTGTTTCCCCAACATAATGCCACATTGTTTCTCTCTGTTATTAAAAGGCTTTTGCTACACTCAGACTATGTGCTTGTGAGAGGGGAAGTATTGCCTCTTGGAGGCGCCCAGCGGGGGTGGTATATATTTGTCCCAGGTCACTGGGTGGGGGCTCGAGCCGGTTTGCATTGTGTTATTGGAATGGAACCCCTAGATATTGAACCCAGCCCTTGTTGCTGCCAACTCTGACGGGCAGAAGGGTTACACTAATATCTAGTCTAGACATCCCACACCGCAACTTGAGACCATTGTTCATCTGCCACCACAGAGTTAGAAAAGCTATGTGGCTTCGAGAGGGACTGTTAAGCTTCCCAGTTCTCTCCAGAAAGAGATGAAGACATTGTGAATGAGAGTTCGCTCCATTAAGCACAAACAAAAGAAAGAAACTGTGTTAAAACCAAACCAGAGAAAAGGGGCAGTCTTCTGTTAGGGAGAGAGACATGGCCTGCTTGGATCTGGTGACTGGGAAAAATATTGCTTGTAACTGTTTCAAAATTTAAAAAACAAAAACTAGGAGGAGTTTTCCCATTTTCCCATGAGAAACAGAAATGTGCAGTACTGTAACAAACCCATTTCCACTGGAGAGTATGCAGCACTTCAGGGGCGTTTAGCACTTCTATCCAAGCACAGGCCTCCAGGTTAACGGAGAATGTTTTTTTGTCAAGAGAGACTCAACCTTGAGTCATTTTGAATCTGTCAAGTGAAGAAAGTAGTGCGTGCATATGTTCTACACCACTGCCCTGAACCTGTCTAAATTGATACGGGCCCAGTCCTTCTCCCACTAAAGTCAGCGGGAGGTTTTACATTAATTTCACAGGATTGCTCCTTTGGGATGAAAATCACCCAGTTGCTGAGGGCCTATACAAAGCTCTCTGCACCATTCAAGTACTCAGAAGTGGTGCTTAGTGAGTTGCTATTCATTGGGTCCTTTGGATCCTCTACACCCAAGAGAGATTTTCTGTGCTGGTGCTGAACAGACCATGCCATTGAGGGGTGGCTGCGGGAGCGGGGATCCAGTGGTGGAAAACCTAGTAGAGAGTCTATAGCTGCTATTCCATCCCATAGGTTGACCCAATGGGCTGCATTACAACCACATGGCCTACTTGTAGTTTCAGAAGTGGATGTGTCAGAGACATGATTCCTGCATGAAGATTTTCTACAAGCTCAGGAATTATCCTGTAGATGAATAAAGACTCTAAATATTACTAATAGCACGCTGTTTCCATGCTAGCCTCTATCATATGAGACACCTTGACACTTCCACTCATCCTTCAAATCCCTCCCAAAGACAGATTTAACGTCTACAAGCAATGTGCTCGGTTAAGGGCTGTTGGGTGTAATTGCTGAATATGTATTTAGTTAGAACATTTAATAAAATTGTACATATTTTGCCCTGTTGCTACAAACACGAATGCAGATCTGTGGCTACATACAGCTGCTTTGTGCTGCACCTTCACTTGATTCTGGCTCTTGATCCAGCCTACCCAGATTCAAGAGAATCAGTTATATCAGAGAATCGGACCAAGAGTGAGGGAGCACAAACCCTACTCCTATTTCTGAGCTATGCTGTTTGCTCCTCTGCCTGTGAGTAGCGCCTAGCTCATTGGGATTTCTACCATGATATAAATAACATGATATATTTCAATACTGCAGTATAACAGCTTGAGTTTATACACCTTCTGTAACAACCTCTTACTGGACAACATTTCTAACATCCAAACATAGATTTATGTAAAATTTCCGTTTTCCTGATTATATAGTGTAGATATAAAATTTGTGTCCTGCTTAAGTAACAATGAACCTGAGCAATGTTCACATTTATGCTAAATTTTAATTAAACCTTTGTAATGTGGACATTTTAAAACAAATACACAACTAGTAGAAAACAACTTAATTCCATGTACTTTAACAGAGCAATTTATACCTGCTGAGGATCTGGCCCCAAATGTCTAAGCACATAAAACACTTTTTTTAGTTTACAAAACAATGATAAATTTTAACAAGTTTTATGGATCTCATTTATTTATATGTGGGAATGAGCTAATTGACTTAAGTTAGTGTGCCAGATAAAATATTATCTCCGAGCATGTTTGCATTTATGTTTTACTTACTGTATATTTATAAATAGGATGAAAAATGGTATGGAAGTAAAGTATCCCATGCTACCAACTGCCAATTCTTTTGTGGAAATCTTGTCTGTCTGTGATGCCTGTGGGTTTGACTTGTACTCCTCAGAGGTCTCAGTTCCACTGCACTATGTACAGAATCATGACTGCAGAAATCTAGGAGTCAGAGAAAGCTAAGCATTTCCTGACAGATGAAAAATGCTGTTGCCATGGAAGACCCAAAGCATTTAATGAGAGTAATGGAAGTTACATGTACAGAGACAGAGTGACAGCATAGATTACATGGTAAATCTTAGGGATAATGAAGAATCCAGGGACCTATGTGAAGTTGTAATAAATCCAGCCCTGTAAGAACTGCAATTACTGCTGTCACTGGTCCCTTGTATAGCTGTAATGCTCCGATGATACTTCTCTCTTTATATCATTCATGACGAAAAAGGAAGGATTCTGATCATTAGCTTGTGAGGATTACAATGAAACATGGAAATACATCATGAGTGAAACCAGCTTAAGCTGCCAAATTTAAAATCTTGATTTTAAACATTTAAAAAAATTGGTTAGTCTCTAAGGTGCCACAAGTACTCCTTTTCTTTTTGAGAATACAGACTAACACGCCTGTTACTCTGAATCTTGAGCAAGTTTCCCTTGAAAATAATGGTGTAATATGAGGCAGACATCACTGCAAAAGTGATGTTTGCTGTCCACATATTTATTAAAAACCATTATTGAAACAAAAATACCCTATGTACTTCACCCACAAGTTTCCAGTGGAAAATTTCTCAGCGGTAAATTGGGTGTGTTTACAGCCTTTGCACAAACTGACAATGGTTCATAGATAAATCGTTTGAAATAATAAATAAATAATTGTTTAAGCAAAGTACTGTAGGGTACAGGTCAGCTGATTTCTGTGTGAATAAAAAACTATTTCAAGATATTTCAGCGATAAGTTTTAAGATTTGACATAAGTGATTTAATACTGTACAATTTAGAGTAAAGCCAGTCAAAAGTATCTCCCTAACGTTATTCAGCCCTGTTTTAACATTACTTAAGTTATTTTACAATGATGTTTCACTTTAATTCTAAATTAGCATCACAATACTCTTTTTTTTTTGTCCTTGCAGTTGTTGACGGCTTCTATTGTTTGTGCAACCCTGGATATGCAGGACTGAAATGTGACCAGGACGTTGATGACTGTATTCTGAATGCTTGTGACCACAATTCTACATGCATGGACCTGCATCTGGTAAGTATACAGTATATGATAATTGATATGTTTGCTCATGTATCTTAAATCAAAACGTGAAGTTCTGCTTCCTCGAATCCTCATTTAATCCATGCACCTGGAAAATGGTTTTATAATTATGCTATCTAGTCTCCAGTTTTTATTTGACGTTATTGACAGGGAAGAAAGGTGTTTTTCCTCTTTTAAAAATAATTATTGAGCAAACATGGTGGTTTGTTCAGTTCAAAGTGATGGAAATTTTTTCAACTTACGTTATTGCTTTTTAATTTAGATACCTTTTTTACAAAAAATATTCATTGTCATAATATTCACTCAGCAAACTTTTTAGTGTTTGGTGGCATTTGGAGGGGTGTTATTTCGTTGTTTGTTTGTGTTGATTTAACCAGATCCATCAGTTGTCTCAATTCGTGAGTCTTAAAACATTTATTTCACAATAACTGGTCACTTCTCAGGAATACAAGAATGCTTTTGTCAATTGATTTCTTAGAAAACACTCAATAAACACATTGACTAAAAGAAGTGTCGGGGAGGAGAATTGGATAGTGGATTAACAATCAGCTTCCTTCAAGTCTTCCCCAGTGTGTTTGAGGGAAAGCTATCAAAGTGTCTAGATTTTTGTTTGATTTGTTTTTATTTGTTTAAAAAACACACATTCCAGAAAATTGTGGGTGTCAGTTAAGAGTTCTGGTGGTGACCAAGGATATAATTTTTTCTTTAGTCTGAAGGTGTGTCTACTCTGCAGTTGGAGAGAATTTACAGTTTGGGAAGACCTGCACATTCCAGCTTTGATTGAGTTAGCTGACTAAAAGCAGCTGTATAGCCACAGCAGTGTAGATGGTAGTATGAGCTAGCTGCTTGAGTACTTAACTAGGGTTTCAGCATGTGCTCAGGTGGAGGGTGACTAACCTGTGCCACTGCCTGCAGCTACACTGCTACTTTCTGCTCATTAGCTTGATCAATGTGATAGCATGCATGTCTCCCAGAGCTGGAAATTTCACCTGCAGCTGCAGTGTAGACATACCCCGATTTTGAGTGTAAGAGGCAAATTGGTTGAAACTATACTAAAGAACAATCATCAGACACACAGATGGACACAATATGTTGGGCAATAGTCAACATGACTTTTGGAAAGGGAAATCATGCCTCACCACTCTATTAGAATTCTTTAGTGTGTCAGCAAGCATGTGGACAAGGGGATATAATGTACTTAAACTTTTAAAAAAAGAAAAGGAGGACTTGTGGCACCTTAGAGACTAACCAATTTATTTAGAGACTAACCAATCTTACTTAGAGTTACTTAGAGAATAACCAATTTATTTGAGCATAAGCTTTCGTGAGCTACAGCTCACTTCATCAGATGCATACTGTGGAAAGTGTAGAAGATCTTTTTATACACACAAAGCATGAAAAAATACCTCCCCCCACCCCACTCTCCTGCTGGCAATAGCTTATCTAAAGTAATACTCTCCTTACAATGTGTATGATAATCAAGGTGGGCCATTTCCACCACAAATCCAGGGTTTAACAAGAACGTCTGGGGGAAAAACGTAGGAAAAAACAAGGGGAAATAAGTACCTACATGCCTCCAGCTTTCACTCTGACCACACCACACGATCCATCGTCTACAGCCAAGCTCTGCGATACAACCGCATTTGCTCCGACCCCTCAGACAGAGACAAACACCTACAAGATCTCTATCAAGCATTCTTACAACTACAGTACCCACCTGCGGAAGTGAAGAAACGGATTGAGAGAGCCAGAAGAGTTCCCAGAAGTCACCTACTACAGGACAGACCTAACAAAGAAAATAACAGAACGCCACTAGCCGTCACCTTCAGCCCCCAACTAAAACCCCTTGTCAAGGTTCCTCCCCCACTCTGAACTCTAGGGTACAGATGTGGGGACCTGCATGAAAAAACCCCCTAAGCTTATCTTTACCAGCTTAGGTCAAAACTTCCCCAAGGTACAAAATATTACACCCGTTATCCTTGGAATGGCCGCTACCACCACCAAACTAATACTGGTTACTGGGGAAGAGCTGTTTGGACGCGTCTTTCCCCCAAAATACTTCCCAAAACCTTGCACCCCACTTCCTGGACAAGGTTTGGTAAAAAGCCTCACCAATTTGCCTAGGTGACTACAGACCCAGACCCTTGGATCTTAAGAACAATGAACAATCCTCCCAACACTTGCACCCCCCCTTTCCTGGGAAATGTTGGATAAAAAGCCTCACCAATTTGCATAGGTGACCACAGACCCAAACCCTTGGATCTGAGAACAATGAAAAAGCATTCAGTTTTTACAAGAAGACTTTTAATAAAAAATAGAAGTAAATAGAAATAAAGAAATCCCCCCTGTAAAATCAGGATGGTAGATATCTTACAGGGTAATTAGATTCAAAAACATAGAGAACCCCTCTAGGCAAAACCTTAAGTTACAAAAAAGATGCACAGACAGAAATAGTTATTCTATTCAGCACAATGCTTTTCTCAGCCATTTAAAGGAATCATAATCTAACACATACCTAGCTAGATTACTTACTAAAAGTTCTAAGACTCCATTCCTGTTCTGTCTCTGGCAAGAGCAGCATACAGACAGACACAGACCCTTTGTTCCTCTCCCTCCTCCCAGCTTTTGAAAGTATCTTGTCTCCTCATTGGTCATTTTGGTCAGGTGCCAGCGAGGTTACCTTTAGCTTCTTAACCCTTTACAGGTGAGAGGAGCTTTCCCCTGGCCAGGAGGGATTTCAAAGGGGTTTACCCTTCCCTTTATATTTATGACACCCCTCCAACGCATTATTAAGGATCTACAATCTATCCTGAAGGATGACCCAACACTCTCACAAATCTTGGGAGACAGGCCAGTCCTTGCCTACAGACAGTCCCCCAACCTGAAGCAAATAGTCACCAGCAACCACATACTACACAACAGAACCACTAACCCAGGAACCTATCCTTGCAACAAAGCCCGTTGCCAACTGTGCCCACATATCTATTCAGGGGACACCATCACAGGGCCTAATAACATCAGCCACACTATCAGAGGCTCGTTCACCTGCACATCCACCAATGTGATATATGCCATCATGTGCCAGCAATGCCCCTCTGCCATGTACATTGGTCAAACTGGACAGTCTCTACGTAAAAGAATAAATGGACACAAATCAGATATCAAGAATTATAACATTCATAAACCAGTCGGAGAACACTTCAATCTCTCTGGTCACGCGATTACAGACATGAAAGTTGCCATATTACAACAAAAAAACTTCAAATCCAGACTCCAGCGAGAAACTGTTGAATTGGAATTCATTTGCAAATTGGATACAATTAATTTAGGCTTGAATAGAGACTGGGAGTGGCTAAGTCATTATGAAAGGTAACCTATTTCTCCTTGTTTTTTGCTTTCCTCCTCCCCCCCCGCCTCCTCAGACGTTCTTGTTAAACCCTGGATTTGTGCTGGAAATGGCCCACCTTGATTATCATACACATTGTAAGGAGAGTGGTCACTTTAGATAAGCTATTACCAGCAGGAGAGTGGGGTGGGGGGAGGTATTTTTTCATGCTTTGTGTGTATAAAAAGATCTTCTACACTTTCCACAGTATGCATCCGATGAAGTGAGCTGTAGCTCACGAAAGCTTATGTTCAAATAAATTGGTTAGTCTCTAAAGTGCCACAAGTACTCCTTTTCTTTTTGCGAATACAGACTAACACGGCTGTTACTCTGAAACCTGTCATTAAACTTTTAATAAATCTTTAACATGGTCCCTCACCAAACCCTCTTGAGCAAAGTTGACAGTCATGGGATAAGAGGGAAGGTTGTCTCATGGCTCAATAACTGGTTAAAACAAATGGTAGGAATAAATTGTCTTTTTCACAATGGAGAGAGGTGAGCAGTGGCATCTATCAAGTATCTGCACTGGGACCTGTGCTGTTCAACATATTAATAAATAATCTAGAAAAGAAGATGAATAAAGAAATAGCTAAATCCAAAGCTGACTGAAGAGTTACAAAGGCATCTCGCTAAACTCAGTGACTGGGCAACAAAAGAACAGATGAAATTCAGTGTCTATAAGTACAAATTAATATATGTTGGGAAAAATAATCCCAGCTATGCATACAAAATGATGGGTTCTAAATTAGGTGTTACCCCTCAAGAAAGAGAGAGTTGCAGATACTTCTCTGAAAATATCTGCTCAATATGAACCCACAGTCACAAAATTTAACAAGAATGTTAGGAACCATTAGAAAAGGCATAGTTGATAAAACAGATGTCATAATGTTGTGACATTACCCAGGGTACAATCTGGATTGTTGGACAGCTGTGTCCCCTCAGTTCTCCAAACTGGGGTGCCTTTTACACTGCTTTGCAGTGAGAGCAACCACTCCTCACTGGCTCACACAGCCTTCAGCATGTAAATTAGCCCCCAGGTATACTGCAAGAGTGTTTCAGCCTGCCACCCATGAATTACTCTGGAGAGCGACACCAGCAAATTCCCAGCCCCGGACTTGTCCCCAGAAATGTGTCTTGTACTGTCCAGTAACCTCGTGGACAATACAAGCTCATAGAAAGTATGTCACTTCATTAATAGAAAATCATATGTGCAAACCCTGTTATGCCAAATGAAGTTTCCCAAACACTTCAGCCCAAACACACTGGCTTAGATAAAACAATAAAACAATTTTATTGACAAGAATTGTTGATGCCGTGTGTAGAGATGAGCGGAGAGAGGTGAGGTGATTTGGGGCGTCTGTTTCTCATTTTTATATCTTTTCCTCCTCTTTGAGAATCCACTCCAGATGGGGTTCAGCCAGCCAGTCTGTTTACTTGGGAACTGCCAGCTGTTCCATTGCCAAGATGTACATTTCTTGCTCACACTCTTCTTTTTTCCAAAGAGTGACCATTTAACTAGCTGAGAGTTCATTTTATTTTGTTGACATTTGGCTGAGGTGTTTGTTTGCCTTTTTGTCTTTGAGAAAGTGGTCTGTGCCTGCTTTTC